ATATACACACGCACACACACACATATGTGTGTATACACACACACACACACACACACATATATTGGTAACTCTTCTAGCCTAGAGAATCGGAAGGCTCATTGATAAATGGCCAGTTCTTACCACTCTTTCATTTCTCATTTGTACTGAACTGAATAAGCAGAATGACATCCTGAATGTTCATGTAAAGTGCAGAGGGCTTGCCGATGCTCACCCAAACTTAGGCATTCGGAATTCAGGAGCAGTGTTCTCGGATTGGTCCTGCATAGGGTTAAAAGTTCTCATCTTCATGTCTTCCCTGCCGTGTAGGGGAAAGAGATTTTCATGTATTTGGGGCAAACGAGAGGAGTGGGTGAGAAGAATATGTGTTTCTGTGACGGAACTGGAAGTGAACGGCCATAAATATGTCGCTGTTTTATTTTGGCCATTTAAATAATTGAGAGAGGTTGTGTACATTAGGACAAGGTACTTTTGGGAGGGCCTGTGACACTTCGTGACAGGGCAGGAGGGACGTTCTCCAGGTGTTCCCTGAGTGTCACAGTTTGTGTATTTGTCTGATTGCCCTTGGCTCTGGGGCAGGGGCAGTGATGTGAGTCTCCCCCGGTCCCCCCACTTCCTTCTCTCACAAAACTTGGAACGGTTGCTAGCTGCTGTCACTTCTTGACAGGCTGAGTTTGGAGCCTCATCCTCCCCAGCAAGCTCTGTCGGACTCGAAGCATTTGGACCTTCAAGCGCTTTTCTAGCAAGGACACTCCACCTGGGCTATGGAGGAGGAGACAGGGCCGCCCGAGGGCTGGCCAGCTTCGACTGACTGTGGGCTTGGCCCTTCAGTTAATATTGAGTTATCCGGCGGCCATGATACCAATCGCCTCACAGTACTGCTTTGACCTCAATTTGCTTTTCTTTTGGCTTTTAGAGTTCTTATGTTTTTTATCCTCTCTGTATCTGTACTCAGCTGGATGGAATTGTATACTTTTAGGGTGTAGTATCACTGACCCTTGGAAAACAAGGTGACAACCTGCTGTATGTGTTGGCGTTTTCCCAGTAGAGGCATCACTTCCGGTGGTGGATCCTGGCCTGCCGACTCCATCCCACCGATGCCTTTGAGAGTTTCCCGTGCTAATTGGGTGCTCCATGCAACGGGCAGTGGCAGGACATGGTAAAGGTCAGAAGAGCACACTGGAGGTTAGTGTGGAAAGTTAGGCTCTTTCCTTTGAGTTCAATGCGGTTGTGCTTCGGTGTCCCCCGTCCCCACAGAGTATCGGAGCTCAGCTCTGCTGCTCTTCCAGTGGGATTGTGCTCTTGTAGCTAGTCAGGCTGGATGGGTCCTCCTGACCTCCATCCCTGTCTCCTCCCCTCCAACCATCTACCCCCAGCTCTTCAGGCAAGGTTGGGTGGCCCCTGGAAGATCTCTTCCCTTGTCTTCTCGAAGACCTGGCTTATCCTGCATCTGGGAAATGCGGGTTCCTCCGTCTCACCGTTCAGTGGATTCAGAATGTTGATGTGGTCACAGCAACCTCTGCTCAAGGTCAGATTGGGTCCGATTTTCCTTTCAGAAGGGGAGGGTTGCTCTTGCTTGCTCTGAGACATATTTATATATCCTGCTTATGTGTGTTTTTCCATTTCTTTAGTTTTTAGGCTTTCCCCCTAAAATAGCCTATTCTTTGGGGTCAAGTGGCATTGTTTTAGTCCTCTGTCTATCCTCGGTGTGCCCATGTGCTGGTGGGATTATAATTCTTTCTGACTGGTTGTGAGGTAGCCCATATGGTGGCTTTCCCCACTTCTTCATTCCTTTGGGCCAGTCTTTGTTTCCTGTTTCCTAAGGTCTGGAGGAAGGATGTCTTTGTGTACAGTTGTACTTCTTTCTAATTTCCTTATGGGAAAAGCAACAGAAGGTGATTCTCGTGTTCCCTTCCTTTCCCCTCATTGTGCCTGTTGCCTCCTTTGGGGGACCCTTGAATTTGTTATTTTGGAGGAAGTTGTTTTTACTCCATATTTCCATCACTGAGCGCATTCATTCCAGAGACGTGTACTGAGCTGTTGTGTGCGAGGATCTGGGGAGGGGGTATCTGACTACCTGAGGCCATAGGGGTCTTTTTAGCCTTTTAATACAAATGACATTTCAGTGTATCTTGTCCTTGTCTTTTTATATAATCTTGTAAGGAATTCTTTTCTGTATTTTAATTATTTGGATTATCATCATACAAAAATAGACTCTAATAGTGTACTATTCCATTGAGCTCTTCCAGCCCTGCGGGAGTGGGGAGGGTGGAGGGCACCTCTGGAGAGACTTTTGACAGTTTTCTCTCAGACTGTGCCTGTGCATGTGTGTGTGTATCTGTGTGTATAGAAAAAAGTAAAGTCAGCCTTCTTTTTAAATGTGTAGGCATAACTTTTAGGTCATTTGGATATATGGTTGGTTGGAGTGCCTGTTTAACATTTGAACAGCACCAATTCGGGGTATTGTATAGGACATGAAATCAAATGCACCCTTTACAGAAGGAAGTGATAGAGAAAAATGATTTTCTCTTATGATTACCTGAGATGTTTCATACTATCAGATAGTAAGAACGACTTGAGCTGCTGTTACATTTTCACCGCCTGGAATATTGTATCCAAACTTAATGCCTAATTGTGGTGACCATTCTTAGGCTAGGTTTCTGGTATAATCATCACTGCTTTTGTTTATTATGTGACTTTTAATACTTTACACTTTAAAATGGCACTGTTATTTGTACTTCCTCCTCCTCTTTCGGTAAATAGCCTCAGATTATTTTTGGATGCAGGTATGGTATACATAATGATGACAACAATAGTAAAGAATTGACCTGGAATGCGCTTTTTCTTTTTCTTCTATGTTAAATCAGATTTAACTTCCACTATGTCTGCAGAAACCAATTCTGCTAGTATTCCACTCTTAAGAAGAACTCTTGTTGAGGATCGTTGTAGTCTGTGGTTTGGCAGTCCTTTATTCATGTGAACATGTGGCTGAATATTTTTTGTGGTGACATGCAATATGTGTTTCTTTTGTATTTCCATTAAAACAGATCATTTCTTAAAATGTTCGGTATCTTCTAGAATCACTTACCATGCTCATTTTTTTTTCTAGATGATTTCAATCCTATTTCCCTTTCTCACATAAAGAGGTTTCTTTATTGCCCTTGCCATCATCATTATTATAAGAGAGTAATTGTAGCTCTACTGTATTCATAGCCTATCATTCAGTAAAGAGGGATGCCCCCTGTTTCTTTTGTCCTGTAGTAAGAGGCAGTGTTACTTCTTGTTTCCCTGAATTTAGGGTGATGGGGTGGGTTTAAGCCACTAGGTGGAGGGGTGATGGTAATATCTGTAACGGCATTCTTCCGGGGTGGAACACTGTGTCCTTCAGGCATCTCTCAGGGCCTCGTGTAGGTTTTGGAAGTTTGTTTTTGCCTCATGTAGCCATCCTTCTGTCTCTTTGGCTTGACAATGGTAAATTTCTTTGGGCATAGCCAACAAGTGTAGTACTCATTTGGGGTCTTCATTCACCAGGACGTGTGGGGTCTTCTGATGCTCCTTGGCCTGTTAAGGTACTATCTGTATAGTTTTTGTGTGCTTGAATAAGAAGTGTTCTCACCCTCTACTTCCTTGTCCAGGTAACATGAGTAAGAGTGCATGGTCATTCACTCTATTTCCAGATTGTAGTGTGTAATGTAGTTTTTTTTGGTACCTAATCAGGTTTGGATATAGGCTAAGGCAGCCGTGGGCAAACTACGGCCCGCGGGCCGGATCCGGCCCGTTTGAAATGAAAAAAACTAAAAAAAAAAAAGACCGTACCCTTTTATGTAATGATGTTTACTTTGAATTTATATTAGTTCACACAAACACTCCATCCATGCTTTTGTTCCGGCCTCCGGTCCAGTTTAAGGACCCATTGTGGCCCTCGAGTCAAAAAGTTTGCCCACCCCTGGGCTAAGGAGACACTTGTGTTGTGTGCCATCAGTGGATGTGGATCCATCAGTCCTGTGTTAAGACGTGTGACTATCTGTCGTTAGAAAGCGGGGCTGGTAAACATATAGATGGTCTTCCATCCCATGATACTTGTCATGTATCTGTAGGCAGAATGTTTTTCTGTATATATTGACAGTGGACAGCAGTCCCCGATTTTTTCCGTGGTGAGACAAAGCAAGGTTTTCTTTTCTTTTCTCCTTCTTTCCCATCAGTATGCTGGCTGTGTGCTTCTCAGGTTGTATTGCGTCTCTCTGCTTTGAACGCCATTGCTTGTAGAAGGTCATGGGCCTCCGTGTGTAAAGGTTGGTAATGCTTCCTGAGCATTTTTTAGCTCATTACCCTGGACCAAAAGAGAAATATTATGTACCCACTGCAAGCAGAGGCCGAGTGTCAGCCACATTACTTCTCTTCTCACTTTTTTCAGAGGATTGTTCATTTGCTTTCAACTGATTGACATCATAGGTGGGATGACCAGAGATATTTTTGAAATGTTTCTTCTGGGTTCACCCTGTGTTTTGTTTCTTTCTGGTAGGGTTGAATGTTCTCTTATAGAGTCCTTTGCTCATTTGCAGAAGTGCAGTCACTTTTTATTTTATTTTTTCAGACTGAGCCAGGCCTTCCGAGTCATGTACTGTACTGTGTTCCTTCCCAGGAGTGTTAGCGGAGGGTGACTGCGAGGGCGACGGCTGGTGTGGGGCTGTGCTCCTCCTCTGCGCTCTGCCGTGTGGCTTGTAGTTACAAGTGCGCAGTGACATGCCGGAAGGAAACATTTGGGACTGAGTTCTTAACCGTTTCAAACATGTCACCACCTGGAGACCATTCCTCTCACACTGATCTCACTTCCTCATGTCATCTAAAATCTCTCCCTGCCTTCTCAAAAAAGAAAAAAATCCAGAAACAACAATCCTAACAAAACCCCAGCAAGGCAAGCCGGGCAGGCCCGCCCAACTGCTCTGCTCCCCGTACCGCCCCTGCCCCGCCAGCTTTGGACATGCTGCTGAATTGATACTTTTGTACCTGCGGTCTTCACAGGTTGACATGTGAAAAGCCTTTTGGAACACAGCGTCAGGCATTGAATAGACTAGGCATTGTCTCCATTTTTCCTTATCAGTTACCAGAAGGTAAGATTATGTATTTAGTCACTTAAAAACACTTGCAGAGTGAATCATTTTTCCTCCTTTGTTCCCACCTCCCCGTTGGAAAGAATATGGGCTGTGGCTTCTCATAATAATAGTAAATGACTGTGTCCCTGCTTTTGTGTCCAGCGCCTGTGAGGAAACGGGGAACTCACTCCCAACAGCGCAGGCTGACAGGTTGGGACTCAGACGGTCTCTCTGGCCTATATGTGACTGTGGAGATGATTTATACTTTCAGCTAAACCTCGTGTCGGTAACACATACATGATAAGAAACCCAGATGTTTAAGTTTATTTCATCTTTTTTACACTATTTGTTTAGCAAGATGTATCTCTGTGTTGTATTAGAATGGTACTCCTGCAACTAAAATTAAAGAAAAGAAAGAAAGAAAAACAAAGGGTTTTTTTCAGTTTTGAAGAAGGTTTTACCTGTTTTTCTTCTTCAGCAGGGTTGCTTGAGAGTGCCAGGAAGTGTTTCTGAAGGCACAGCAATACAATCGAGAATTAATCTTTTAAAACTTAGATTTGGTTTTCAGTCCTTGTCTGAAAAGTTATTTCTGAGGATGTGTGTGCCCCATTGGTTTTCTGGGGCACTTGGATATGAAACCATTTGGAAGCGATAAAAATAAATTGTTACAGTGTGTGAAATTATCAAATAGAAAGAAAAAAGATGCACTAGTGAAGAAAGTACCCATTTATCGTTAAAAATAATCTCCAAGTGATGATTGGGAGTGTCAATTCAGGTATTCTCGGGAAGAATGGAACGTGGATGTGCTTGCCCTGTTGAAATCGGCAACTATCCCTGTTATACGAAGAACTCTCCAAATGGGGCTGCTCGGAAGATAAAGAAGTTGATGGGATTGCTTATTTTCAAATGTTAAGTGTTTTTTCTCTTTTTAAAAAGTAATTGAAATAAAATAACCCTTCTTAGTGAAGAAAATGTAAACTCTTAATGGAAGTTCAGCAGAATGAAACATTTAAAAAGTGAAGATAGAAGATAAGGATTTTTTATTGCTAATCCACAAGGGGGTAGTGATGTTCTATCAAAGGCTTGTGGTGGAAATGTGAGATGATCTCTTTTAACATTTTAGATTTACAGATAAAACTGGTCTGTTTGCATTTTCACTTAATAAGATCTCCTTTTTTTAAATCTTCCTTGGCAAAATTATTGCTTAAATTTTTAAAAAATTCATTTTGGGGGGAATGGTTACATTAAGCCATCGGAATGGTAAAGGAGGGAGAATGTCCTTGTAGTTTTGTGCTGTGGAGATGTTACCAAGGATCTGAGGTCACTTGTAATCTTCAATTTCCTGGGAAACATTAGGAATCTAGGAATCAGTAATTTAAGTGCCCCAAATAAAAGGGTTTTAGTAACTTGTGTCTAAACTTTACAGAAGTTTTTA